GTTGCTCTAGTATCTGCCCCAAGAATAACACCATCCTGAAGAAACAAAATAACAGTTAAAAGTACCAGAAAGTAAAGCATTTCTTGCGTAATCCAGCAATTTTTAATGGAACAGGAAGCATCTATCAATAGTCATGAAAGACAACAACTAAACCAACTACGAGCACAAAGCTATCAACATTTAAAAGGCTCAAACTGCACTTATCTCTACATCTCATCATGAAACATTTTTCTCCCATAGGTTCTCCGGTTTCTCACACCAAACAATGAGATTTCATGACCAAGAAGATGTCGCAAAATAGTCCCAAAATATTAGTGCAAATAAGCATAGCACATCGACCAATGCCTTTTGCCTAAGTTATCTGTATCTAACTGTTTCTCAATGATACAAGATTCTAGATTCCAAATAAAAGGTAGAAAGAAGAACAGCAAGTTATTGAACTGGCTCATCTACCAAAAGTACCAAAAATCAGTCTTTTGACACTTAAGAAGTCTGGTTCACCGTATTAAACACCACTTAGGTATAGACCAACACCAAGCAAGAAATTTTTTTTTTAAAAGGTTTGGAAGCAGGGGTGGGAGGGGAAAATTATAGGTCATTATGGCACACATGCACAACATATCCATCAATCCACTGACTAACATTATATTACATATAGCTATAGAAACAGTTTTCAGGCCGAACCCACTTAAAACATCAACTAGGCGATTCATCAAATTGGAAGGCAGTGACCAGACAGAAAATAGTGTCTAATGACTATAATCACAAAAGGCAGTTCTCTTAGCTATCTTCCTATTTCGAAACTCCTCTAAGCCAACATACAGTTGCCTTAATCTGCCAAGAAGTTGGAATCGATTAACAATATACTCTAGTATCAACATTTTTGAGCATTAAAACAACTTATAACAGACAATGCTTTATTATTTCGTTACTAATTCAAAAACCGAGTACATCCAGGCATTCATTTGTAAGTAGATACATAATCACATATAAAAACAAGGAGCTTTCTTCAATCATCCACAATCAAACAATAACACTCATCCTATAGCCAAAACTAAAAAATTACAAGTGTTCGGTGATAGGTGTTCATATGAAACCCACGAAAATCTAATTAGCCCAAAAAAAAAAAACTATAAAGAACATAGAAAGATGAATTCATTAAAAAAAATTGCACAGAAACCTGAAAAACTAAGCCCACAATTGTTGTTCCAGTCTTGAGAAAAGAAGGGGCATTTAGACCCTTTTTCACCAGCATCTCATTCCTTCTGCACAAATCGAAGCTGAACCCGCCTTTTGGAGGGACCTCAATTGCTGCCTTCGACATCTTTGACTGCTAAGCTTCAAATTAACCTAATTCAAGTATAAAAATAGAGGAAGTTTACCAGACCCGAAGTTTAATCCCGTGAACCAAGCTGATTTACTATCATAAAACGTCAATTTAGGGTTTATATTATGGTAATATGTATTTTGATATCATCCTACACACATATACTTATTTAACGTAACTGAGTTCTATACTTACCAGAATTGAAACTGAAAATTCCGGCTATGACAGAAAGATCTATGGAGATCTCTAAACGAATGATTTTAGAGAGAGAGAGAGAGAGCAACAGACCAGTGTGTTTGGAAGGAGTTAATAAGTATATTTTTTCTTCGGGAAAGCTTGGGGAATAAGAAAAGGAAAAGATGACGGGCCTTTTCATAATTATGTTAATTGTTGGGGCCTAGAGAAAGGTAAAATAGTTCAGAGGGGAATTGTATAGAAAAGTCTAGTCTTGGGTGGCACAGAAGAAAAAAGTACAAATGAAAGCTTTGATTAAAGGCCTCTCACTTATATTTTAAAAAAAAAAAAAAAAAATCTTTCATGAGGAGGAGAAGGGGACAAAAATGAGAGAGTATCCCAATTTGCAAATAAAAAAATGAGAGACTATCCCAATTCCTAAATATAAGCTCAAATAGTATGCCAAACATCCTGTTTGGATAGAGCTTTGTTTGCAAAATTTTTTTTGATTACGACGTTCATTTTTTTTGATCTTTTCAATCATTTCTTTATCTTAAATATATTACATTGCAAAAATACTACTATAGAGTTTTATTAAAATATTATCACAAATAATCTCCTATTCAAATACAAACACACAAGATCTTTGAAAAAATAGAGCTACGTGGTTCTTTTTCCACTTGGGATCCTCGGTGACATGTTTTCTATGCCAACCCAATGCCACCAATAGTGTTGCGCCAAGTGTCATGTTATTATTTACACTTGTGTTAAATCAAGTCAAGTTGAATTATTAGAAAATTAAAGTGTAAATAATAACATGACACTTGGTGCAACACTATTGGTGGCATTGAGTTGGCATAAAAAACATGTCACCGAGCATCCCAAGTGTCTTTTTTCCGACTTCCCTCTCATGATCCCTTGACTTCGAGACAGGTATCTTTTAACTCTCCAAATCGTGAGTGGATGTCTTACATCAAATTCTCAACTTCAAAAGAACTCGACCTCAAGTAAACATCCACCGAAACATTCCTGCAGGATTCTTGGAAAATTTTCAAAACGTGCACTCAATTTGGTTAGCATTTTAATTCAATGCGTTAGGCAGGCATACTCCTTTAGTTTCTACGATGATTACATTGGTGTTGCTTAACGGATTCTTTAGAGATTGCCACCTTTTACCTTTTCCATTATTTTTCAACAGCTGCTGGTGCACCAAGTCTTCCACAGTCTGCCTCGAGTATGCAACGAAGTGACCAGAATGCAGCTCTGAAATTGCTGCTCTCCTTTGTTGCTTCCACATATCATCATCAGCATTGAAAATTCCTTCACCAAGCAAGTCAGAAGTCTTTCTCTGTAGTAGCTTCCTCTTGGGAAGTTCTTTTGATTTCAGCATGTATTCGATCTTAGAAGGATCAGCTGTTATGATACCTAACGGTCCTCTCCACATTCCTCTGAAGTGAAATGTGCAACCAGATTTGATCAAAGCTTCTGTAATCCAGTCATAGACGTCATTGGTACGGAGAATAAGAGATGGTACTATCCCCATTACCGGCCATAGCATGGGACCCTTGTTGGTGAGTCTCTCAGGCAGTGAAGTAATGAGAAATGGCCCAACAAGTGTCATGGCCATGTCAGAAAACCAAAAATATGCACGTAACTATTCCATTAAAGAAGAAAGCCTCCCACGAACATATCCATATAGTAGTAATCATCTTTCTGTGATCCTAAGAGTCCTACACTTCAGTTAAATAGGGTGAGCTTTATCACAGGCAAATCAAACTGGGATGCTTATTAGTTGCACTTTAGGAATCATTGTTAATCCCCAGAAGGGAAATGGAGTTTCTTTGAGATTCTATTTTCATTTAGTCTGCACATCTCAAGCAGGGGACCTGCATCGAATATTAGAGTAGTGTTTTGTCCGCCAATGCACAGTTATACACGAAGTTATTGCGTTCAAGATTGAAGCGAAGCGACGGAGCTTTGGAATTCATTGGGAGATGAGTTTGAATACTTGCAGAGTGGTTTTTTCAACTGAAAATGGAAAATATTGGACCAATTCAATTCGAGGTAATCACACATGCAGATGCAGGTCATATTCCCCATGGCTCGTGACTTACAGTTCATTAGGAAGTAAGTGCACGAAATTACCACCGGCATTTTCTAGACAACAATCAAGATCCTTACGAGGCAACAACCACCAGCATTGTCAAAGCGATTGATGCAATCAAGCTTCCAGCTCTCTCAAAAGTCAAGGGTCATTGACTCATTGGATAATGATGAATAGGACGGGAATAAGTTGCTACAGCACTAAATACTTGTAACAAGAATTCGAAGGTTGGATGCCAGATTGCAATGACCTTGTTAGGTTTACCTACAAATTAGTAAATGGATTTTCTTTATTTAGTAAATAGATTTACTAATTCTAGTCTAGGAAACCGGAATTACTCGGAGATCAACTCTTAATAAGTGATTCTTTAATACATTGTCAAATTACAAACTATGTTTCTGCTATGCTCAGCTTGCTGAAATGATGTATGAACCAGTGAACCGATGCAACGGTTCTGATTTTCATTTTAAAACTAGTTTCTTTGCTAAATCAAAGTTTTCTTCTCTATTTCGTTTTTCGCTTTTCTTTTCTTTTTTTTTTTTTGGGTTATTTGTTACAGGGCACTAATTTTTCGAAGGGGAAAAGAAAATATTTGAACGCAATTTTTTGGCCAAAACTCGCATCTTTACTTCTGAAAGTAAATCCCATTGCGCTTTTCATGTCAGTGAACCAGATTTTCGCTGCTCTTTCAAATTTTAATTACATACTGATACAAGTAGTTGGAGCGTTAACCATGATAAAAAAAAAAAAAAAAACCTTCTTTGATTCTTTTTCTCCTCCAGAAGCTTTGCAGTACTTTTAAGGAACTTGGCCACATTAAGCATAGTCATCAACAGGGACATTTCCGTGCTTTTCATATGGTATGTGAATCTTGAATTTCTTGCCAATCGAGTTTAGCTTTACTCACCCGTCTCTTCACCGGTAGTTTATAAGCCGTTTCTGTCAATACTCTGTTATCTTTAGTGTTTTATCTTCTTCGACGCTAACGCTTAGAAGGTGGTGGACTCTGCATACTCAGCTTCTCTTTTGCTTTTCCTTACTTTTTTTCCCAATAAGTCGAAAAGTAGAAGGTGCGAAGGGCCAGAAGAATGAGAAGGAATATTTAAAGCTTTATTAGTGAAGATTTGCTAGCTTTAGTGTTTCAGTGCTTTACACTGACCTTGAAAAGCATTAAATTGATGCGCTTTTCTTGATCACCGACTTATTAGTGCAAAATTGTTTGTAGTGAAACATCTAATGGTAAACAATCTTTTCTTTATTGATACGGAAAAAAGGTACCTAAAGGGATGTCTCAGCAATGGTGCATCAAAAATTACCGTATGGCTATCAGTACGCAACCTAAGACTATTTTATGTATTTCTCACCTCTGTTGGAAAAGTTTCGATATTTCAATTTCTCAACTCTCACTAAGAACTTTGCTCACACACTTGCACTAAAGCACATTAGTATACCAGAAGGAGCAAGTAATGCTGTTTGTCTTACTTTTCTTGTCTGCTCACAAGTATAAAAGAGCAGTCGTTTCAGGGATCATCAGCATTTCGAATACATCGTCTTCAGATGCCAATTTTCTTTTGTTTCTCAATTCAGAAAGGCACCTGATCAGGCTCCCCCTTCACTTTTGCCATGAGCTTAACCGGGTTTGAAAAGCGCTATATACATTTACCAGTGTCTACCGAAGAAGATTTTCTAATAAGAAAGATCCTTATGACCCATGACCCTGATGGTCGTCAGCTGGATGCTCAGCAATTGCTTCGTGCTGTGAAGAATATTATCCATCGTGCTAGTCCTGTATCAGAAGCTGTATGTATACATTCCCCCATAAATCTTGTCCTTTCTTCACATATATTGTGTCTGTTTCAGTGGCCCTCTAGAATTTGATGTCGTATGTTAGAATTTCTTAATCATGGACTGTAATTCGAAAATCTCGGAGTTAAAAAAGATGAAGCGAATCCCCGTAACAATGATTTTATCGTCGTGGCCTTCTCTTGAAGTCTAGCATATCAGACGTGTTGGGAGTTTTGACTAATTTGGAGGCATGGAAATTTCGTTTTTGGTAAATTTTGACAATGAAATTCAGTGTTCTAGTTCAAATACGCTCCAATTGCCAGCAAACTGTCATGCTTTGCAGTGGGAGTCAATTGATCTTGATACCTTAATGATGGTCTGAAAAATTAATTGCCAAGAGATCCATCAGAATTCATGGAATAACATTCCGTATTTGCTACGTCGACATCAGCAGATAAAGATTATTATATCTTGATTCATATATACGAGATACTGCATTGCTAGAATTTGAAAGTTCTTGATTCAGGATTGTCATCAAGAAAATGTGGCCGTATGGGATGCTGATGCAATTGGATTACATGATTCGCTGGGATACACCATCTTTAAAATCTCACATGAGGTCATAACTATATGTTTCTTGATTCAACTTCCAGTCTTGCTATCCTTTTATAAGAGTCTACCTAACATATAATAGCTCTACTTACAGGTACTGAGCAGATGCTTTGAAGGAGGGGATATACACACAAAGACAATGTCCTTATTTGACATGTTAGGGAAATTTAGATGGGATGCAAAAGTAGTTCTAGTTGTTGCAGCATTCTTCACAAATTATGGTGTATGGCAGCTCCAAGTGCAGCTTCAATCCCGTAATCCCTTGGCAGCGCTAGTTGCGTTACTTAGACAAGTGCCATCAGACTTGAGTGGGTTCAGGGCGCAATTTAAGGCATTTACCCTGTTAGTAAAGACCGTCATGGAGTTGACAGAAGTTATCATTGAATTTGAAAGCCTGCCTTTGCAACAAGAACTTTTGGAGTACAAGGTCATATCTGCTGTGAAGTCAAAAATCTACTTGGGCAGCTACTGGATTTTTAGGAGTTCATTGGCATGTTTTTCTCTCATTGCAGACTTGAGAACCAGAAAGCAGGACCAAGTGCATGTTCTTTCCCTTCATTTACCTCTTTTTTATTGTTCTTTTCCCCATGTTAATGATTATATGGTAATAGTATACACTTCGCATGTTACTTGCGTCATGTATAACCATTGCCAGCATCTCTAAGTCTCTTACAAGTATGCAAGTAAGTTGCGGATTCTTTCTTCAGGAATTCAAATTCTATAGCAATTGCAGCATGGACTATGCGCAATTTAGTCTACAAATTGAGCGCATTGTGCTGCGACTTGAGAGAGCAGGTCAAACTGTGCCATCAGCAAATAGGTTGGTCTCTTTGTCAAGCTTTAATTGAAGCTTTCACTGTGCAAAGTCACTTTTTATTAAGTTGTCTCCTCGCACGATTTGCAGATTCAAGGTTGTATGAGAAACTACCAAATCTATTCAATCAGATTCATGTCGATAACCAAGAAAAGCTGAAGATGCTAATTGCTTCTGGGGATAACTTCCCATTGATGGATTGTTTATCAAAAGAAAAGGTATTTTCTTTTGCCAATTCGTTATCTGGGGATATACACATGGGGATAAATATTGCTGATCAGATTATTTGTAGTAAATTTTACTTGATTGATTTTCTCTTCCTGCTGGCATATTGATCTCTGGACTTCTGAGAAGTTTATCTAACCATGGCATTCTTGAAACCTGCGAGACTCCTCACTACTGATCTCATGTTCCACAGCATAGCCTCTCTGAACTGAAAAATAAGGTGGTCATCCTTCTAATATCAAAGCCTGAGCTCCTCCCTATTGAGAAAATCTTCCTGCTGGTGCATCAGACATACGATCATCCCCACCAGGAGAAAATTGGAGGGAGCTATGTTGTTTTATGGGTTCCACTCTCATCTTCACATGGTTGGAGTCACGCAGATAAAATCAGTTTTCAATTTCTATCAGGTTCCTTGCCATTTTGGTCATTAAAGCAGCCAGGGTTACTAAATTCAGCAGTTGTCAACTTCATCATACAAGAATGGAACTTCAAAGAGGAGGCCATGATGGTTGTATTGGATACTAATGGCATGATCACAAATTCAAATGCAATGGACATGATATGGATCTGGGGTGCCAAAGCATTTCCATTTTCAATTTCTAGAGAGAAAGAGCTCTGGGAAGTGGAGAAGTGGACACTACAGCTCATGATTGATGGTATTGATCCTTTATTGACCAATTGGGTAAGAATTCCTACTCATAGATAGCTCAAAATTTTGAAGATATTTATGTTCCCAAGAAAAAAAAAAGACCTCTATGCTTCAGCTCACAATTTCTTTCTAATAGCAGATCGAGGAAGGTAAAAATTTCTGCATTTTTGGAAGTGGGAACGCAGATTGGATCAGAAATTTCAGTTCCAAAATCAAGGAAGTTAGTAACACAGAACTTCAGCTGGAGGTGATTTATGTTGGCTGGAGGAGTCCAACTGAAAAATTACAAAGCATTTTACGTATAATCGAACAAGAAAACTTGTGTACATATCTCACATTCACAAAGATTCGTTTCTTTTGGCTGCGATTGGAGAGTATGAAAAGTTTGACTAGTCGCCAAGAAAACAATGATGATGATATGTCGAAAGAGATACTGGGATTGTTGGAAGTTGACGACAGTGACGATGGATGGGTGCTCATTGGGACAGGATCTTTGCCAGGCCTGATAAAGCTTCAAGGACAGAAAGTTACAGAATTCTTTGATCTTTTCCCCGTCTGGGCTGAAAATTTAGGGACTATGGGAATAGTGGGTGCTATTAAAAGTGCCCTTGAGCCTACCCTTTCCACAGGACCTTGCGATCATGCTGAAATTCTTGCATTCAATGAGGGATTGTTAAAGGGGCCTGTGTTCTGTGCAGTATGTAAACGCCTGAAGGAGAAGTATGTACTCTACAAATGTGATGCAACTGAATAGAAAGTTGCAAAATTTCCAGTCATTTAACCATATAAAATAGGATGATCAGCATGTCAGGGGGATAAGCAAGTAGCAACCAAAGAAAATGAACTGTCCATGCTAATATTACTACTAATAACTTATCCTTGTTATGGTCTATATCCTTGCTTTTCTGGTAAAACACATTCAGATTTTTGGGAAGACTGCTTCTGCTGCGCAGACAGAGACACGCTAACAGACAACAATAAAAAGGGAAAAAAAATTGGAAGAATAAGAAGGAAGTAAACCTATTTTCTTACCTGTACCATATTGTATTCGGATGTTTCAGGCTGTTAACAATCATCCATCCAATCTTCCTATAGCATTACCTGAAAAAGGAATTTACTCAAGTGAATAGACAGACAGGAGTACAAATTTATTCTTGGTAGTTCCAATTTTATCGCGTGTCCCTGAAGGGAAAAAAAAAATTTTACAAAAATTTTTTAAAATGTTTCTCACATTTTGCTAAATGAATTTTTCGTCTTTCACTCTTAGAAGGTTAATTTTATGTTCTTTACAAATTCAAAGTCAGCAAAATTTGATCATAACCTAAGTTGCTAGCCATTTTTTAGTCTAAAATCATTAAGCAACTCACATGTGATCATTTTTTAGGTATAAAAAAGTTTAGATTCCACTTGTTTAGGGATAAAAATGAATATGAATCGGGTTATATCTCACTTTTTTTGGAAGAAAAAATGAATATAATTCAATTCAGATTATATTTTTTTTAGAGGCAAACATAAAAATGTATCGGGTTATTTGTTTAACTACAAATTGTATCTAATTTTTACTCCTAATAAATGATCACGTGTGAGTCACATAATGTATTTAGATAAAAGGTGGACAAAAATTTAAATTAGATATTAACTTGAATTTATAAAAGACGTGAAAAACAAAAAAGTTCATTTATCGAAATGTGCTTCTAAGCAACACAGGAAGACATCATCATTGTCTTTCAGACTTATGGTCTCTTTTCAACAGAGAGGGAAAAAAAAAAAAACAATCCAACGCTAGAATACCGTCTGCAAGACATTGGGTTGTAACCATGGTTCGAAGACTCGACTCGGCCTAGTCCGAGACGAGATCGCAACGAAACGATACCGAGATACGTGACTCGTCGAGACGACACCGTGAAGGGTTGAAACAGCCGAGTCATCCCGAGTCAACTCGAATTTTTATTATTTTTACTAATTTTTTAATTATTTTTGTTTATCATTTTTTTTATAATTTTTAAAATATTAAATATTTCAAAAATTCGCGTCTCGTCGAGACCGCGACCAATATGTTGAGATCGATGTGGAACGGTCCAGGCCGCGACCGCGACTTTGAACCATGGTTGTAACGAAGCCTCCATTGGCAAGAAAGAACACATTCACTGCCTACACCAGCAATTCCATTTTTTACAAGAAATAGTACTTACAGTTTCGAATAAATCGTATTGAGCTTGGACCAGTTCGATAACAGCAATGTTCTCCTATACGTAGAAATCAGACATGTTATGATCACCAAATCACAAGGGGATTTTCATGTTAATATCTTCCCGAGTAAATATTTACCTTCTCTTTCACCTTTCTCTCGACAAAACTTTTCTCAATTGATTACTTCCAACTGCGTTATGGTATGAAATTCCATGAGTAGGCGGCAATCAAATGCAAGGATGAAAGCTCAACACTATAAAAATGAAAAGCAAAAAAAAAAAACAAGAAATAGGCAGCAAACCGGCAAAAGGACAGAACAGAGCTTGGAAAAGGTTGGACTTGATTCTGTCTGCTGGCATTCTCAAGACATTCCATTATTCATAGCTTTTTCTTATTCCTTCTCAAACTTTGCTTTATTCAGTTACTTATGCTTGTGATTGGCTACTTGGAATTCCTTAAGGGCAAGGCCTCGTCTGTTGGGTCCCCAAAATCAAGATTCCAATATTTTCAGAGAGATTTAGAGTCCCCTTTGACACTTTTCTTTACGCGATAGATTTATAACTTAACCTGCATTTGGCTAGCATGATAGAATCTACATTTACCAACTAATTACGTTAATTACATAACTTATTCCAGCAAAAGGGTCCTCTTTATTGATGACGCTGCAGTGCATAATGCGATAGGTGTTTTTGTCCTCCATTCTCGCAATGCAAATTTTTACGCAAATATAAGATCCTGTATCAAAGTGAGCAAGCTTTACGGTGAAAGAAAGAATTAGAGAAACTTAAAAGTCACACCGTCTATGGTGGGTTTGCAGTGCGTGGAAATGTGCTTTCCTGGACTTCTTTCCTTTTAGGCTTCTTGTACTATAATAGACCCAAGTATCAAGCAAAGAAAAAGAGAAGTATCCCTCCATTGCTAAAGTAGCCAAGTCATCTGCTGCAACTAATTCACCTCTGCTCACGCCAAGAATGGTACATGACGACCATGGATGGCTCCACCATCCTTGGAACAGGAGCAACAGAAGAAATTTTTGGTTAACATGTTGTCATTAATCAGGTAGGAATTGATAATTGAGTTGCCTAACTTATTCAGACCATTTACATGATTCAACCAGATTCAGACCATATGTAGAGAGATTTAACGAGATATGCAAACCTAATAAAAGCATTACAATTTAGCTGCTTGTGCAAGCCTGATCAGCTCAGGTACAGATCACTTTTGAAATATCGTACATAACTCAGTCCGAGAACTCTCGACATTTGACAGTACCGACAGGCGTCGTGAAAATACACTGAAGGCGAAATCCTTAGATTATTACTTCATCAGGCGATGGGAATTTCCGACCTCTCACAAACTTCATTGGTTAAAACCATAGTCGAAGCAAGGAACATGATTCATTCTGCCTTTATTCCATGACAAGAAGCTATATAAGGCCCCTTGAGAAAGCAGAACAAACCAAGCTAAGCCATTCTTCCGCCACCACATCTCTCATCAAAGACCTCAACCTATTCCCGCAATGGCTAGTGAAATGGTGCCAACTACAAGGGGCCAGCAATTGCAGCCCATACAGCCAATTCAGCAATTGCAGCCTGTGTCTCGCCCAATGATTGAAAATGTACCCACCACTAGGGGCCACCCAATGACTCAAGCAACCCACGAAATAGCTCCCAGTACCAGGGGTCAGCCATCGACTACAGCTCGCCCTTACCTCGGTGAATCACGCCCCCACTTTGGTGAAGGGCAGGCTCACCTTGGAGAAGGGCAGGCTCACCTTGGCGAAGCGCAGGCTCACCTTGGTGAAGTGCCTGCTGCTGTTAGGGGTCATCCCCCCACAAATGTGCCTGGTATTTTGAAGACTCAACCAAAAACTGCAATTGCACCTGCCGGCAGGAGCGGCCATTTGACGAGGGAACGTCATCTGTTCTCAAGTTCAGATGATAATGCCATGATGAAGCAAATTCTAGCCGCACATGCTCCAGATGGCCGTGAATTTGATGTAAAAGCTCTCGTCTTCATCGTTGAGGATATCATGCGCCGTGCTACATTTCTTGGCGAAGTATGTTATTGTCTCTTATTTATCGCCCTCGTTTCAGGATATGTACATAATGGAGTATATGTCCTCGTCCATGAATTTATTATTTAGTCGTATCACATATTCTAACATAAAATTGTATCTCTTTTGATCATTTTAGGGAGCACAAAGTCAAGCTCCTGCTGATACGTGGGAGGATAGGGCTATTCACAGCGGTTACACTGACATGCTAGAACTTTTAGCATATCCTATCAACAAAACAAATTCTGAGGTATGCATTCCGTATATATGCCTATCAAAGCTCCAGTGGACATAGGGCATTCATGAAGCACTGTCACTATATACAATTTCAGTGAATTCAACCATGTTTGAAATAATTTAAAAAAAAAAAAAAAAAAAGATGTTGCACCTAAGACGCACACACGCACAAAAAGAGGACATTGCAGAGACAGATCTCTACCCGAAGGAATATATTATGCTATACTGACATTGTTACTAAAAATGTTGTAAACGCGATATATGGCAGCTAATCTGCAAGTGCAGTTCGGGAGGAGATGCACATTCAATAACTATGGCACTCTTCCAGACACTGTCAAGCTATACTTGGGAGGCCAAGGTGGCAATAGCCTTTGCGGCTTTTGCTGTGAGTTATGGTGAGTTCTGGCTGGTTGCTCAGCTTTACACCACAAATCCACTAGCCAAGTCAGTTGCAGTTCTTAAGGAACTTCCAGAAATAATGGCGCATACTGAAGCCTTGAAGCAAAAGTTTGAGGCAGTTAATAACCTCATTAACGCAATGCTGAATGTGACTCATTGCATTGTTAAGTTCAAGGAGCTCCCTACACAGTACATTAACCCTGAATCACCTGAAATGATGTCTGCTGCTGCCCATATCCCCACAGCAGTTTACTGGACCGTTCGTAGCATTGTTGCTTGTTCGTTTATACTGCTGAACCTTATAGCCCTTGGACACGAGTATGTTTCCAATTTTCACTTCTTGTCAAGCCATATTCTTGGTTTCTCTGACTACTTGGTTTAATGATAGAAAATGTCCTACACTCCTAGTAGCTAAACATGCTAGCATGTGCAACAAGAAGATACCATCTGCACTATTTCTTACAATGTTTTTAGCAGTACTCAACCAGAAGGTTACGCTTGCCTAGCTATTTGCAATTTTAATCACTGTAATGAGGGTATGACTAAGCACTTAGACCGACAGTTGCAAACTTATTATTGTGATTGCTGAATTATAATTTTTGTCTTTTTAACAGATATGTCGCCTCAGCTGCAGAGGCGTGGGAATTGAATAGCTTGGCTCATAAGCTTGCCAGCATAAAAGAGCACCTGGAAAGGCAAATGGATATTATAAACCGGAGAATAGGTAATTACCTGCATATTGAACTTGTTCAGAACAGTTATGTAATATACATACTACTTCAGAAAATAGGTAAATCAGAATTACGCATCCTACTTCACCATTTAATGACACAAGTCTTCCCATGTTGCAGAGGAGAGGAGAGAAAATGACGCATTTCTAGCACTTGTTCGACTCTTTGAGACAACCCACATTGACAACATGAAGATTCTTAAGGCTTTGATATATGCCAAGGAGGACCAGCTGCCCCTCTTTGATGGAACTCACAAGAGAAGAGTTTGTTCTCAGATCTTCACCACAACCTAGCTTGCCTCCTTTTGCATGTCGACTATCATGTACGTGACGTCTTTTTGTCTTTTGAATGATGGCAGGCTAGCCTTGATGTATTGAGGAGGAAACATGTATTGCTACTCATTTCAGACCTTGACATGTCCCATGAAGAGCTCTCAGTCCTCCATCAGATGTACTCTGAATCAAGGCAACAGCCAACTAGGCCAGAGAGTCAGTACGAGGTTGTTTGGCTTCCAGTTATTGACAGATTATTACCGTGGCATGATGCAACTGATAAGCAGTTTCAGCTTGTCCAAAACTCAATGCCATGGTACTCAGTGGCTCACCCAATGATGCTTGACCCTGCTGTCATCAGATTCATCAAGGAGATCTGGGGCTTTAACAAGAAACCTCAGCTTGTTGTCCTGGATCCACAGGGAAAAGACTCAAATCGCAATGCTTTGCACATGATGTGGATTTGGGGTAGTTTAGCTTTCCCTTTCACTAAAGCAAAAGAAGAAGCACTGTGGAGGGAAGAAACCTGGAGGATTGAATTGTTGGCTGACTCCATTGATCCAAACCTTTTCCTTTGGGTATCGACATCTTTTCTCATCTCAGGAATCAATTACTTGCTAATTTGGGTCAAGAAATAGTAAAAAAGCCAAACTTGAAATTATGCGGAGTGGTTTCATATTGCATCTTGATACCAAGTATATAAACTAGTACTGAACATGTTTCATGTTAACACAGGTAAATGAAAACAGATACATATGCTTGTATGGTGGAGAGGACATCGAATGGATCAGGAAATTCACAAATACTGTGCGGGGTGCTGCAAATGCTGCAGGTATCCGACTGGAGATGCTCTATGTAGGGAAAAGCAACCCCAAGGAAAGGGTGAGGAGAAACAATTCCATCATCCAGTCTGAGAACCTGAGCCACATTCTGCCTGACCTGACTCTGATCTGGTTTTTCTGGGTGAGGCTGGAGAGCATGTGGCACTCCAAGAATCAACATGGGATGACAGTGGAGAATGATCCGATAATGCAAGAGATTGTGACCATGCTTAGCTTTGACGGAAGTGACCAGGGATGGGCTGTCTTCAGCAGAGGTTCGCATGAGATGGCTAAAGGAAAAGCCGAAACAATTTATGAATGCATGAGCCAGTTTGATCGGTGGAAGGACAAAGTTGTTTACCCCGATGGCTTTGTGATTGCGATGAATGACCATCTTCGTGAGCTCCACACCCCCCATCATTGCAACCGCCTGATATTGCCCGGAACTACTGGGCAAATTCCTGAGAGGGTGGTTTGTGCTGAATGCGGCCGTCCCATGGAGAGGTTCATCATGTACCGTTGCTGCATCGATTAAATTCAGCATTTGAGCTGAACCCAGGTCACGTTAGCTTTGGAGAACCAACATTGAATAATAATAACAATAATAAGCAAGCAGCTCTGCTTCTCCAAAGTCCAAACTAAACTACTACTACCATATATTCAAAGAGTTTGCTATTATGCCGTGGTACTCCTAAGAATAAAGCTGCTGTACTTTTTGCTTCCATGGCTTTTCTGCCTCCTACGATGACACTAATAGTGCTGTGTGCTGTAAAAATATGAAATATTCCCAGTCGTGAATAAACGAAACTTTTCGCTTAACCTTCTCATTGTCTCATCTTCCTTTCATTATTTTTTTTGGGTTTGTTTTTCTGCCTCCGCATCTTCAGAATGCAGAACTAGTACTAGTACGTGATGATTGATTACCAATATATGCAACTTTTTTACTCTTTATGATTACTTGATGTTTCCCTCTGCATTCTACTACCAAGTTCAATCAATGACGTCTAAGGGATGCGAAGTTGGGCTTTTCTGGGCATGATCCATGCAAGTATGGTTGAGAAGAAGACAGTTAACTGTTTTCATTAGAACTCATTCGTTTTTGGAGTAATTCATTCTTCATCTTTAACTTCCTCTTCTTTTACCATATATAAAAAGAAGATTGTTCTTTGGTATTTTCCTGGATTCTTCTTACTCATGAATTCCACTCCTGGCCTGGGAGGACCAATAAAATACTTAATCCATACACCTTTTTACTCGAAACAACACTCTGATAATGGGGTTTCAACCTCGACAAATAAGAGGTCATTGCTCCAGATCTCCTTTCCTTCCTCTGCACTTTCTTTAAATCCCATCTCTCTCCTACTTGTACATATATACTATATTAGAAAAAAAAAAAAAAAAAAAGACTGTTAGAATCTAAATTCACCGATTTAAGTTTTGAAATGAAAATCTTACCAACATTGCTTGACCATGCAGAGAAAATCAATACTGATTATCACGGTTGTAGATACAGTAATAGGGAAAATCATTATTTCATACGGGTGTAAATCAACCATTGCAAATTGGGAAAAGAAAAAAACACTGTAGCAGGAGACAGGTAGCACGATGCAACAGAGATTTACACCGCGCTGTTTAATACTGACGAAATTGATTTATGCTTCGGGAAACTTGAACTCCCTCACTTGGAACTTTTCCAGAGAGAGTTCACCATTGAGAAGCAACTTTCGTTTATTTACCAAAAAAAATTCAAGGAAATAAACCATACCAAGCAAAAGCATATGCAAGTAGTAATTACTGATAATAAGACTAATATGTAACAATCCGACTTAATTGAACAACTACATCAACGTGAGAACTAGTGGCTTTCAAGGTATATAATGGTCGGATTGCATTTTTGAGTATTGATTTATGCTTCCGTTGACGCGTCCGTTGTGAGCCAACGAACGCAACGCCTCACTGAAGCAAAACCCCTAAAAGTGAACATGATCCCAATGATTTTGAGGGTGAGAGATGTATGTAGAAGTAATTATCCAGGGAATAAAAATCAAACATACAAACTTTACAGAAATTTTTGTTTAAAACAAAAAAAAAATAAAAAAGGAAGTTGTCGTTCTGCAGTTTCCGATTATGCCGGAGCAAGAATCAGGCGGCCATCATAAATCCCAGGGGCTGTCGGCTGTCGAGCGGCGGAAGGGTTCAGCTAGGCCCTAGTGCGCAGTGGAGGGTTTCAACTTTCAATTTATAAACGACGGGGCCTCCAATATATTTGCCACGGAGAGGATAATAAGATGCTTAAATTACACTTTCTTCCCCTGTATTTTGAGATCCTGCTTTTTGTTCTTAAAGTTGTAATATTATTTTTGTTTATTATTCTTTGCTTATCCTTTATTCATTTTTTATTTTTGAATACATATGAGAGAAAATCTCCTCACTAAGTAGTATAAATTAGAGCATGGTATCTAAAAAGCAAACCAACTAGTACATCTAATAGCACTAATGGCTTACACGATATGTTTCCCTTTAATATGAAAGCATGATGTATTGATATTTTTTTTCTCTATAAAATAATAAATGAGTATTTTCATTTAAGATTCTTATGGTGATTGTACGCATTCCTTATAAATGCAATATTATTGTAGCCTATTTATTCTTGTTTCATTTTCTAACACTTGGTAGAATTTTAGAGATCCAAACCTCAAGTTTAACATTTTAAAATTTCATACAATTTGTTGTACCAAAAATAATTGAGCATAGACTCTCAATTCATAAATTATAGATTTCTCTTTGAGATACGTATTGTATGTTTAGCATGTCACTCGCAATTTACCATACAAACCTTACAGTGAATGAAGATCTCAAATAAAGTTGATTTAAATCTTAATATCTTTGACATATAGTAGTACACCACTCATGATTTGCCACATAAATTCTTAGTTTCTAATCATCTTTACTCTTGTTCTACTTCATGTCTTATACCTGCTAAATATCATATAATATGATGATTACTATAGAAATATTGTACTAATAGATTAATCGTTATACAAGCACAATCTCCATTGTAATGTTACACTATATATTTGACATGACACTACATAAAATTGCCCCTCGCTCATAAGTAATAGGGTGCACATAAAAATCTCCATTGTAATGCTATACAAATATATTTGAAGTTCCAAATTTCTTATGAATCCTACCAAAGGAAGAGGTTAATAAGTTAAAACTAAAGGGAAACTGATGGGATATACTCAATGTCATGTTAAACTCAGAGAAATGTATGGTTCTATATTTGTCATAATTAAATTGTAGTTAGCCCTAAGGGCAAACATGCCCCTATAGCTCAGTGGTAGAGCGTCAGTCTTGTAAACTGAAGGTCCGTAGTTCGATCCTGCGTGGGGGCACTCATCAGTTTTGCCGCCTTCATTCTTTTATTTCAGTTCCCTTTCGGTAGCCCTCGAGTTTATCAGTTCACAAATCAACCTCTTTTGCCCCGCAGACCGCAATTTTTCATTATGGCCGGAGTCGTGAAGAAGCTGCTTCAGAAGCTACCAGATCAAAGAATCATCACATGTCTCAACCATCAAAAGCCGTTAACTCCTTTGTTTCCAACAACTATCCAGCAAACCTTACTCGACCCTCATTCTTTCGTACAAAATCCCAGTTCAAATTGTTCAGCCGTGGAGAAATTTGCCCACAAAAATGACTTTCACATTTATCCCAGTTTTTCATTTGGGTATTTTTTGTATCCAATCTTCTCATCTGGGCTAAAGTTAGATCAGTCTCAATCACTTGAAGCAAAAAATTTGGACTTGGATGAGTCAAGACTCATGTGGGCTGACAGTGTCAAGAAGAAGAGAAAGAGGAAGATGAACAAGCATAAGTTGAGGAAACTTCGCAAACGCCTTCGAGGCTATTCATGAACAAGGTCCACTCGATAAAGATTCAATCTTTTTGTTTCCCCATTTTTATGATACAATTTCTCTACGTTTTTTTTAAAAAAAATTGAGGACATTATAGTCTAGGTATTACTGAATTTTGATCTTGGAATATGGTGTATTTTCTCTTAATAATATCGGTGGATTATAATTCTTGAAAGTTCTCTGGCTTCATTAGTTTTAGCAAAAATGTATACGTTTTAGGTGGTAGCATTTAATACCGGTGTTAGGCTTGTGTTGATCTGCCCTAGTAAGCACAACTTAATGATTTATGCTTGTAGTAAGCTCTTAAAAGAGAATATAGAACTAATTTAAACAGATAAACGTGAAAAAATATGCTTGCTTTGCTATAGTTGAACTTGAATAAGTACCGAGAGCAGAATTAGGAACCTTTCTAGGTGAAGCTGTACTTAGATCAATTCCAGCAATGGTGGCAAATTATCATCTCCTACTGCTGTGCATTTTGTCTGGAATTATTTTTCCTTCCTTGCTTTTAGCTTTGTTGCTAGACTTCAGATAACAACACTAGTATCTCTTAACCATTAATTTTGGTCGTATTTGTTTCACAGCCTAGTTGGAGCATTTAAGCCCTTAAGCTACTAAATGGCCTCTTAGGTCTGTTATCCCGTGAGGTATTAAGGTGGAATATCAGATTCTATTATTGGTTACAGGCAAATAGTTGTTTAAAATAACTCAGAATTCCCTTATGAGTAGGAAATCGAATATGAGCTCATTAGTTTGAGGTTTGGTGTTTGGAAAATTGTTGAAATTCTTTATCTAGAAATCTTATGGTCATAAATGCTCAACTTCCTTTTTTGCAATAAGGTAAAACGATTGAATTTGAAAAACATCGGATACCAAATTTTATACCTAAGACCTGTTTATGACACGGTATCTACGAACTATTGTTGCTTTCTCATGGATAAACTGTAAATCAGATTGACAAGATTCAGGTTAAATATATGTGGTGTTTAGTAATTTCTCTTTGGAGTCTCATCAGCGTCGTAATACTTTGAGGCTTTGGAGTTAATGTATTCCAAAGAGATGTGAAGGTTCTTATCAACTATGTATCATTGACTGCTACTGTCACTACTAACTCCATGTCTTATCTGCTAGACCATGGTCAGATGTAGTTTAGCAAGTTTTAAAACCTTGTCTGCTCAGAACCAATACCCTGTAATCTTAATCTTGTAATGCCACGAGTGAAGAAAGTTAGTAGTTCAATCTAAATAAAATTGAATTTCTTGCTAAGATAAGAGGAAAAATGAAAAAGTTATGAGCATCGTTACAGCTCATGACTACTTACTGAAAAGAGGGTTACATGATTGATGAAATTTGACTTGTAAGTTTTGCACTCAGTGTTTGATTATCTTCTTTTGAACATTGGACTTCATTATTTAAATGTCTATGATTGAGTACAGAGAGAATTTTAATTCTAATTGCAGAAGTAAGATATATCAGATTAATAATAGGAAGAAGATTTAGAATTTTCAGATGTTTCATAATTTTTGTGAGAATAGATTGAAGTCAAAACAATCCAGAAGTTATAAGCGTATAACTCTTTTAGTCATTCTTTTCTTTTGGAAGTATGGGGATTTACTTGGTCGACTGGAATCAATGACAAATGAAGTTATAACATACCGTGCAGCACTCAAAAACTAATGGGTTTGCCTGCATATTAGTGGAATCCATCAGGTTTAACATGTTTCTCTTCTTGTCTCTGCATTTAGTTGTAGATTATAGTTTTGATCTAATTGTCTTAGGTGATTTCTGACACCATGTAGAGGATATGCTTTTTTTTGCATTTGCATCATCCACGGCGGTAATCATAAAGTGCCATTTCATGATGCTAGTTGACTACAATTACAAAGAAACAATGTTCAACACAATGAACTTGATAATAGGAAGCACACAAATGAAGAAGCATGTTATACATATCACATGGGGAAGACTTTCTTTTCACTTCTTTCTTTTTTTTTTAAAAAAAAAAAAAAATCTTCAAACAAATAGTGGCAAAAATGTATATGCAGAACCGAGAGCAAGACAGTTTGAAAGAAAAGATTAGAAGTTTCGTTGAGGGAAAGGAAATTTTTACAGGGATACTTACATGAATCCCATGTTTGATTTTTACTACAATTTTCTCTTGTACATTGCGGACATGCACTTTAAGTGTGGACTTACAAACAAGTTCATGTTTATCACACACGCTTCAAGTGAAAATATTTTGCTGGAAAAAATTGACAAGGGCGTGCAAGAAACTAAAAAGGGTGTGAACATCATTTCTCTTTAGAACGGGCCGTGGCTTTGCACTATCTAGTAGTGTTGGCCCAATAGAATCTCAATAACATTAGAAGGTGAATATGTGATGTCGTATCGAGCAAATTATGCAGAATCTTTACCCCAAAATAAATTAAATTGAAATGCTTTTTTTTTTTGGTTGGGGGGGGGGGGGTCTACACTAGATTTGCACTTTAATTTTTTTACCTCTGTTTTTATTCTGGTAGACAATAATGTGTGGTTTTGATTCAGTCCCAGTTTTTGGCACAGTCTAGAGAATACTACAGTGAGCGAAAATAGCTGAACAAGAGAATAGGAAGGAGAAGAATAAGAACATTCAAATGTTTCATGATTTTGTCAAGGTTGTTTGAAGTCAAGACAATCAATAATTAATTGAACTTTGACCAGTATTTTCTGTCTGTTGAGTTGAAGAAATATTTAGATCACTTGATTTTTTTTTGTTCCCGCTAGGCAGCCTCTCTATTTCAAGAACTTGGGAAGGATACATTAAACTCGTATATGAAGGTACTTAGCCTGAGTTCCTTTTTAATGGCCTTAGTTAACAAAGACTCCAAGCGACAGATAATAGGTTCAGATTCTTGTTGAGCAAGATTATTCAACAGACAAGAACAAATATTCTGCCGTTATTGAGATGGGTAAGAATGAATGGTGTACCATTTGATTATGTCGCGTCTGATTGACTCGAACTTCCACCCCTCCCGGTTCAGGATGACACAGCACCCTTACTGGTTCTTGTTTTTTCTCATTTTAGTCCAGTTTCTAGATCAATTAGCTGAACAGTCATAGCAACTTAAAAGGATCCTGGGACCAAAATAAGATTACGAGTATAAAATAAAAAGCATTCTCTTCTTTCTTTCATATTTCTCTCTCTCTCTCTCTGGTGAATGCTTTTTCTTCATAAATATCTTCTGGTCTAACCGTGCTTCCTTATCCAGGTTGCTTTCAGAATTGGGATGAGGAGCCTCAGACGAGTAGTGAAGTGCTTCTCCCCTCCCCTTCCCCCTCCCCCACAAGAATATATACTCTTAGCAATTAGAAACTTTTAAAAGGCTTGTGCACTTTGTGGCTGTTATGATTGTCCTCTTGTTCCCAGGCAAGAAAACAATTCTAGGCAGCAAGTTGTGCAAGAGCAAGTTGGCAACTTGGAAGCGTGCAGCTGCAAAACAAAGCAATTTTTTTAATCGTAAGGGGCTGAAACTTTTCTTTTTTTTTTTTTTTTTTTTTTTTGAATCTTGATTTGGCATGCATGGTCAATAATTACTTGTTACAACGACTTCCAAGTTTCGACCACCAATACATCCATTGGATGTACTATATTTTTATATATTACTATAATGTTACCATCATATCTTTTGGGCACTGCCCTGCCCATCACTCAAATTCAGTATTGCCACGTAAATTAGCGTATGAAATTATTGCAAAGCTCAGGGTCTGGTAATCATGCAGAATTTTCTACATCAACTTGCGACAGGGCATCAACTATTTTTCTTGATGATCCATTTTAAAACAAGAGTGAGGTGGATGTTTGAATTTTTCGACGCATCTTGCGAGTGTCCAACAACTCCCTCTGAAAATATTCAGAAATTCTTCTGCATCACCGTTCACGCTCCAAGCCACCTCGAGTAATTCACCATAACTATAATGGCTGCTTCGATTTCCCACATTTTGCAACTTGCCAAGTTGCATTATCCAAAACGGATGACTTTTCCACTCTCCCCCACCCACACAACAGAACGCCTTCTCCTTCTTTTATTCAAAAGAAAAAAATGGTTGTTTACTTTTCTTTTGCCGTCAGAAGAAGAGTACAAAGAGGCTAGAGCTTTATCTGAAGTGCTTGTTGTATAGCAAATCTGAAATCTTGACGTAGCATACCATACCTTCTTCCGTTGCAATGTGTAAGCAAGTTAACACAGACAAAGGGCCTGTTTGGAAGTGAGTTTTTTGGTCAAGTTTTTCAGCTATAAGTATTTTAACAACTTTAGCTATAGGAATCCAAAAAAATTTATCAAATTTTTTAACTTACACACTTCAAAATATATAATACACAAAAAACTTCTATCTTTCTTCTTCTTTCTCCCCCACCTCATCCACCGTACCTTCATCGCTGGCCACCACCTCCGCCGCCGTTTTCGGCGCCGGCCACCTATTCCGGCGCCGGCGTTCCCAAATTTTTTTTTTCCTTCCTTTCTCCCTCCCTCTCTCCTTCCCTCTCCTCTCCCCCTCCCCTCCCTAGCCAAACTCCCCCAACCTATGCGGCAGCAGCAGTTACTTTCCTCCTGCTCTGGTTTTTCTTTCTCCCTCCAATCATGCCAACGCTACGGCTGACGGGGGAACAGGGGAACAGGGAAGGGGAGTGGCGGGGCAGAGGGGGTGGCGTGCAGAGGGGAGGGGGAAGGGGCAGAGGAGGTGGCGGGGGGAGGGGGTTGCAGGGCAGCGGGGGAAGGGGAAGGGGGTGGCGGGGGAAATGCAGAGGAGAGGAGAAGGGGAAAGGGAGGGGTGGCGGGAGGGGGAAGGAAGAAGAAGAAGAAGAAGAAAGAGAGGAAAGAAAAGAAAAAGGAAAAAAAGAAAGGGAAAGAGAAAGAAAGAAAGAAAAAAAAAAATTCACCTTACAAAAACTTTTACAAAATTTTTTATCTTACAAAAAATTCTACAAAAAAGTTTTTCACCTTACAAAAACTTCTACAAAATTTTTTCAAAAACTCCTACAGTGCACTACAATAAAGTTTTAGATAAATTCCTAAAAAACTCAGGTTCCAAACAGGTCCAAAATTCAAATAATCATTTGATTGGCAAACAATACCCGAGTGACATTAGCCAAATAAAAAAAAAAGAAGCAGGCGAAGTTAGTTGTAAAGCAAATAAATGTTATCAAAATGCAATAAAGCAATCAGCTTTTCATTTCTTTACATACCAAATGGATGGATGTGGATCAAATCAAGTGTGTACTTCTCAATTGCCTCACATTCATTTTGTCCACCTCTTTTCTGGGCACCGCAAGATGTGATCATATGAGGCTCAAAAAGTTCAAAGCTCTCGTCGTTTCTCATCCAAGCATTTGGATTTTCTTTTTCACAAAAAAAAAAAAAAAAAAAGCATTTGGATTTTGGACCTGCAGTTTTCTTTGGTGATCTGTACGGCACTTTGCAAATCGCTGTACACCACAAACACACCCGAGAGATTTTTTTTGTTTTTTTGGGCAGGTTCATTGCTGCTTAAATGGGAAGGCGGCGTGGGAATAGGAGAAGGGGGGACTATACTCTCAACTCTCTACCCTGATCTCAATCAGTTGTTTCAAATCGGCTGGACTGGACACCTTTAGGCTTTAGATACACTACCAACAACATTCGTGCAGGTTTTTGGGAAAATTTTCTTCTCCGAATCCTTAATCGTCGCAAGTTACTAAAGTAGTTCGAAATTTTTTTTTTTACTTTAGTTCACCAACTTTGGTAAACAATGCTTAATTCATGCTAAAAAAAGAAAAAGAAAAAGAAAAAAAGAGGATGAAACAAACCTGCATTTTCCATGTTTTATGGCAGGCTGAACCGATTACTTATGAAAAAACCCAGATCAAAGCGCTATAAAATTTGCTATTATTAGGTGTCGCTGTCTCTCCCTTTCTGTGTATTCTCAAATCTCTCACTTTTTCAACCAAACCGCCATAATTAACAATTGTTGTCTGAGCAATGCAATAATAGTTACTATATAATTAACATTATCCTAAACCAAAGCGTTATGATGATGCACTGCTTTTCCAGCAATGCAATATTTTGTCAAAAATGTCATTGATCATCTTCTCGTACTTGTACAGCCGCCTTGCGATTCTTGACACAATGCTTGCTCAACGATAATGTGGATGTATCCTCCAAAAAAAAAAAAATATATAGCATATACATAGACATATATATATAAATCTTCTTATTACCGTTTTAAAGTTGGCATAAGCGATGAACAGACCGAGTTAATCACGTATTTTCACGTGATGACCGTAGATTTGGTTCTTGATTTTGGCATAATCATTAGCTAACTACTTAATCTAATACCGTTGATTAGTTGGAGCTGCACTTTGATCGGCCATGCATCCATCCATCCCAGGTTTTACTACAATTTGTCATCTTTCTCATTTAAGTACTCGGAACTAGTTTTTATCGCTTCAAGCTGTCTCATGCAACCGAACCGCAGGAGGCCAGCCAAGTTGCTCCACTTTCCAATTCAACATACATTATTGTTGTTTGAAAGTTTTATCATTATTATATATGAATGTGTGTGTGTGTGTGTGGTTTGAAAGTTTTTATCAACATTGTTGTTGTTTGTGAATTTCCATGACCGATACAATAGGGTGGGTCTGAGAAGTATTGAGATCAACCAAAAAATTAATATAAATGTTATTTTTTAAAAAAAAAAAAAACAAATTTTCCTAGCTAACTACTATATCGTGAATTTCAGTGTTTCAATCTTCATCCACATTGGAAGGAGGACATGGGATGGGAGTCTTAACACTACTTGAGGAAATCATAACCTTCCAAACCTTAATCTCACCATCAAAACTTCCACTAAACACCTTAACGGCACCACCAGAATCCTCCTCCGCCACCCCCACCAACGACCTCACCGGCTTAGCATGTCCGTCCAAGACCGTCAAGCAACAGTACCGTCCATCATGGCCCCGATGCCAAATCCTCACCGTCCTATCAGCCGACCCGCTCAACAACAAATCGCACACGTTAATCAAACACAATATAGCCTTCGAATGGCCCCTCAATGCTCCCGTCACCACCATATGATTAGCACTCTCCTCCCTCTCCCACACCAATATCGACCGGTCACAGGCTCCGGAAAACAAAACCGAGCCATCAAAGTTCAATGCCAATGCATTAACAGCTGACTTATGCTTCTCAAGAGTAGCCATTAAAACATGTTTCTTCTCACCAAATGCTCTTCCCCAGACTCTAATCCGCTTATCAGCCGAGCCCGTGTAAATGAGACCGCCTGGTGATGCTGCTACCGCGTTAATCGCATCATCATGGGCTTTGATTGATTCTGTGCATCGAAAATCCTTAGCCCGCCAAATCTTTAGATATTTATCCCACGAGACCGAGTGTAACAAATTTTCTGCCGCGGCTAGACTTGATACTGCATCATAATGTTCGACCCATAGTTTCTTCCTGTGACGTCGAACTTTGACGTAGTTTTTGGGTAATATGAAGTTTCTCAACCGATCCTCGACCGTGGGAAGCGTGGCGATGAGCTTATGTTGTCCAACCGAGGATGACGTTAATTTCCAAACTCGGATTCTGCAATCTTGGTGAGCCGTGAAAATCTTTCCGTCACAAAAGGCTAAGGATTTGATGGAGCCGGATGAGGAGGAATCATTATTGACGTGGAAGGAATCGAAAAGCGTGAAGTTAGTGGTGTTGAAAACGTTGACTTGGCTGCCTGAGACGGCGTAGAGGAGATTATTGTTTAGTGCGAGGAAGTTGACGTGGGCGGGTTGTTGGGGTTTAAGGGAGGTGATGCAAAGGGTTGTGATGGAGAGGTTTAAGGCTTCGGGGGAGAGTTTTTGGAGAGAGGGGACGGATGGGAGAGTTAAGATGGAGAGGTTGCTTTCGAGGCTGGTATGACTACGAGTAGTATAGGTGGAATCTTGAGAAGTTAAGGATGATGCACTACTACTTGCTTGAGCGTCGACTGAGCAGCTGCTTGAATCAGAAATGACAAGTTGGTTTGGCGTTGGTGGAGGGACGATGGCGTCTTTGGCGGTGGAGATGCAGGTTGAGGAGGAGCATGTTGACCTTAGCCATGATCTCACCTTCATTGTAGAGAGAGGCCTAGAGATGTTACAGGAAAAGGTTTGTTTTTAAAAAAAAATTTTCTTTTGGTTTTTGTTCAAATAGAGACTTCAAGTGTGCGGGAGGAACAAGGAGGAAGGTGGTGGTGGATTTTTTTTTATTTTTTATTTTTTGTGTTTTGGAGTGGGGGTGGATGGGGAGGGGAGAAAGGGAAGAGGAGGGTGTTTTCTTTGGATCCTCAATGGAATAGTTGGAGTATGCAGATGTCTATATATGCATATTTTGAGTTTAGGTAGCCAATGCAAGTATTATAATTTTATGATGGTCAAATAGACAAAGAAAAAGGAAAAAAAAAATAGGGCGGCACCAATCAATCAATTTGATTAGAGAGGAAAAGAAAACGGAGTGAGGTGATTCGTGATTGTGAAACGTTAACATTTCAATACTTTTTGTGTATAACAAAGAAAATGAGAATCTATTTCTATGTAAATTTGAGAAGAGTTTTTAGTATGAAGGTTTCATAGACCTCCAAATTCACCATATATTCTTTTTTGTAAATTTCTAATTTATTTAAATTCACAAAATCTATTTATTCCATTCAAATGCATTTGATTTCAAAATTTTTTAAAAACATTTCATTTCAAATTTTTAATTACTTCAAAAGCTTCCACAGTATAGCAAACCAAATTTTGCAGACCTCAACATTTTCAGCGGATTGGCATTGCATGTTTTGGTTTTACAATTTGAATAGGTTACAGGGCTAGATGGGAGAGAAAACTATTAGTCCATCAAGAACAAGAAACATAGGACCCGCGAGAAGGAAAGGGTTACCATAAGGAAGGTGGAGCTGCCGGACAAAGGGAGGATGGTGTGGGAGGCGATCGGAAGGAGTATCATAGGGTGGGGAAAGTGGTGAAAAGAGATGGTGATTATATATTTGTTTAGTATGCCTTTAACTTTGGGTAATTTTTAAGTTACTTTTGTACATTTTTTAGGATCCATTTTGAATTTTTAATATAAGATATTCTGATAGAAATTTATACAAATACGAAAGTCTTTTATTCATTTTAAAATTTTCTTTTCATATAAATTATTTTTATAAAATAATAATATTATTAGTTTACTTTCAATATGTGAATCTGTGCATAGCACGGACCAAAATGTTAGTAGAGAAGAATTTTGTAACTCGATTTTGATTTTATTGCTTTTCTAATTTTTTCTTGAGGATGAATGGTGACGGAGGAATATGAGTTGCAAGGCTTCTGGTAAATATCGCCCCCTGACAATAAACAAAGCCCAGTGGCGGCAACCAAGAAAGAATCAAGATTCATAAAATTGTGCTCATCCATCAATGATTTGGTATCAAAAGGCATCTCTTTCCTTTCGTAATTAATGTCAATTTGGTCTATAATATATTTACCAAAAAAAATTTTGGTCTATAGTACTATGCTATTTGCCTATATAAAAAAAAAAGTGTTTGGATTGTCGTCTTGGAAAACTGCGTCTTGCTCTAATTCTCTATTCATTTGATTGGGAAATTGGACAGAGTGCTGTTTCTTTCTTTTGATTCCTTGTCGTTTGGTTTATCTGGATTTAGTAAAGCCTTCAAAGTTTTTTCTTTTCTTTGCTTGTTTTTCTTGGAGCAAATTTTGACCGAGTGTCAGATGCGGCATGGATGGATGGCGTATTGCTTCCGGTTATTTATTTGACTCAAAAAAATGAAATACTTGCTAAGGTACCAAAGAAAATAAAAGCCAAACAAACCTAAAATAAAAAAGTTTTAAGATCACGATAAACTACAATGATGAATCAATACAAGCATATTAAATTTCAGCAATATAAGAACTAACATATAAACGGTGGGAGGCTGAATATTACAATAATTCATCAACGGTGGAACAGATACTGACACACAGTCACGTTCAATACACTCAACGAAATTTGAAATTAAACCATGCAATTTTGAAGAAAAATTCTATACTAAGTGACGAAAATAAACTAAGTTACTGGTTTGTTTGGATTGTAAATTATTTGAAATATTTTTACTGTAGCACTTTTTGTGATGTGATGTATGTGAGATAAAAAGATAATTGGGAAGATAAAAAAGTGTATTGGAAATTATAATGATGATGTAAGCAAATATATTTGTTGGACATTTTTTTTTATTAAGCATGGGTTTGGGGCTTGGGACGACCAAATCCAAATCCAAATCCTTCTTTGCTTTGCTTTAAATTGTCCACTTAAAGCATTTTAAATTAGTTCTTAGTGTGTGAAATGGAACTAACCTTGTCATTGGACTAATTAATTATGTGGCACTTTTCGTCTGTTTGAAAGTTTAACCTTGTTTTCAAGTGAAATGGGGCACATCAAAGCTGAGGAGGCCATCATCAATTCTTGGTCAAAATGCAAAGCAGAGTCCGTCCTTTTTTTTTAAATATATATATATATATATATATATATATATATATATATATATGATAAAAAAACACACAAATTAAAGCCAACGCCCTGGTGAATAAGTAAAAACAAAAAGTGGCATTTGCAAACATCAATCGTCCACGGCAAGAATAAGCATAATCTCACCATCACCAGATATTTAGCAGATCTTAACACAAATTGATTATGCAGGCATTGGTGTTCATATTTGTTGACAGGTGACTTCTAACTTACTTTAAAAAAAAAAGCAACTTGTTGTTTGTGTGTTCATTATTGACGATGATTGCATTTCACATAGTAATAAAATGCAAGAAATTAAGGAAAAACTGGAGAGAAAGGCTATTGTCTAGTTTTAACTGCTCGTGATTGCAACAGCTACGACATCAAATTGACACATTTGTTGGATAAATCCCCAAAAATGTCGAAGTCATTTTCTTTTTCTTTTTTTTCCTTTTGTTGGTGGAGACAGTGCAAGTTTTTTGTTTTTTTTTTTTTTTTGGGTGGCTGTTGTTTAATATTAGCCTTGAATTAAAAAGAAAAAATAATCTTTTTGTTTTTTGTTCTTTTTTGGCTTTCTGAGAATTCGTTTGAGAACCCAGATTAAAATAAATACTAACAACAATCAGTGTAAAAGGCCTACACTCTCCACTCTAGTGTGGCGGCCCTGCTTGATGGCTGGATAATGACCAACACGAAAGTTTGCAAGTGGTAACGGTGAAAAAAAAGTAAGCAGCAGCAGTAGTAGTATTTCATAACCACAAGATGGCCTCCGGGTAAAACATTTGCACCTGTCTTGATGATCTGATGATACTAGAAATTTACTTGAGCGGATTTAGATTTATTTTAGTAGTACATAACATTGGTACTGTCTGAGATGTTTTGTTTTGAAACATAGTAGTAACTTTAACTCCAAGAGAAAATCTTGGACGATATTAATGTAAATTCCGAGACAGTAGCAGCTCTTGCGCATGACCTTCTCCAGGATCACTGCCTGTAAGGAGATTGGCCATGTTGTAACTTCATCAGGGAATGATAAGCCCCCCGGTGTCCAACAGCAAGTAAATCAAAATGTGATCCTTGCTCCACCACTTCTCCATTCTTTAACACAGCTATGAAATCTGACTTCTGTATTGTGGATAGCCGATGGGCTACGATTACACAGGTTCTACCAACCATCATTTTCTCCAATGCTTCTTGGACTAAATTCTCTGACACACTGTCCAGCGCACTGGTTGCCTCATCCAGGAGCAGGATTGCTGGATTTTTCAGAATTGCTCGAGCCAGTGCTATCCTCTGCTTTTGTCCTCCCGATAGCTGAACCCCTCTTTCTCCACAGTATGTCTCGTACCCATCTTTCATAGAGCTGCATTGCGAAAAAAGTCTTTCATTCAATGAATCGCTGTTGAAGATGTTTTAATTACTAATTTCCACCTTTATAAATAGTGGGGTGAGTTCTTTAGTACCTGACAAATTCATCAGCATTAGCCAGCATTGCAGCTCTCCTGATCTCAGCTTCCGTTGCATCCTCCTTGCCATAAACAATGTTTTCGCGGATGGTTGCAGCAAATAAGGTGGGTTCCTGACTCACTAGTGCAATGTGTGATCTCAGGCTTCTTAAGTGATAAGTTTTGATATCACGATCATCTATTAGCACCGATCCTTTTATTGGATCATAGAATCTTTCTATTAGCCCAATGATCGTGGATTTGCCTGTACCACTTTGTCCAACTAGTGCCACTGTCTTTCCAGGTTCAATTTTGAGGCTCAGGTTTTGAAAAATCATTTGCTCAGGTCTGGATGGGTAGGAGAAGGAAACATGTTTTAGCTCTATTTTGGCATTCAGTGTTCCTCCGGCCTTGACCCCTTGAGGATCTTCTGGCTCAATCTCACTTTTTCTGTCTAAAATTGCAAAGACACGTCTGATTGCATTGCCACCCCTTGCTATATCTGCAGTCATGCTTCCGGCATCTGCAATACTCTTACCTGTGCTCATTAAGATGAAGAATGCTTGAAATAGATGCTTTGAGGTGACCAAGCCTTGGTTCATAAGCCTGCCTCCATACCAATATGTCATGGCCATGGTAGCTACAGATAAAAATTGGGAGATGAATAAGGCTACAGCAGAAACCCAAGATTGTTTAATGCTCTCTTTTCTGGGGCCTTTTAGTGTGGCTATAAATAGGCTCAGAATTCTATCTTGAGAAGAGAAGGCTGTGATGGTCTTGTGGTTGACCACAGCCTCACTCGCAAGTTGGCTTCCTTCATTTTGTGCTTTCTGACCACTTTCAGACGTATTTTTCATCAAAACACTCCTTGAATAGAAGCTTGCAATAATTAAAGGCTGCATTGCTATCATCACTAATGCAACTCTCCAAGTGAGGATCAATCCAAGGGCAAAGGCAAGTGAAGCACCTGCAAAAACCTGAACCAGTAATGCTATCCGATCCCCAACAAGGGATCTAACCATGTTGGCCTCAGTGGCTAGCCGTGCACAAATTGCTGCACTAGTGTTCTCATCTTGATCAAACCAACCAATTTCAAATGTAAGCACAGCTCGGAGGATTTCCTCTCGCACCCTTTTTATTACGCGTTCTCCCATAATTGCAAAATTATAATGTTGAAGTAAATTCGCGAAGAAAGTGACAATGCCAAGGATCAGAAATATGATGCAGTAAAATCTGGTCTCCGACTTTAATCTTGACCTGTCGTCCAGAAAGTACACTGAAACAATTGACCCCAAGCAATAGGCATGAATAGGATGAACTGCACCAAATCCTGCAGCTCCTATGCAGCCAAGCAAAGCTCTTTTCCACTCTGGAGTATTCAGTTTAAACAATCGCCACTGCAGAGGACTAGGATAAGCAGGATAATCACCACCCTCATTATCACTTGCATTGTAGGAGTACATTTGAATTGAGGGCGTCGGACTCATTGGTAATGCTGGACTGAAAGGAGAAGCGGGGCTGTTTTGCCAGCTTGATCCTGCAGTGTAAGGAGATTTGGGAGTCAAGGCATAAGTAGCTCTTCTATTGTTCCATCTCTCTGTTGCACGATAAGGGCTGCTGATATTTTCATCTGATTTTATTGACTGCTGCATTTGCACCATTTTGAAGTAAACCCCACCTTCTTCGTGGTCATTTTGCATTAGTTCTTCATGTGAACCTGATTCAACAACTCTGCCTGATTGGAGAACCACTATCTTATCAGCTTTACGAATTGTGGCAAGTCGATGAGCAATAATGATTGTTGTCCTTCCTAATGAAGCTTCGTCAAGGGCCTCCTGAACTATTCTTTCAGACTCTGCATCTAAAGCACTGGTTGCTTCATCAAGCAACAGGATTTTCGGATCTTTCAGTAAAGCCCTTGCAATAGCGATTCTTTGCTTTTGCCCTCCAGAAAGCTGGACCCCAGACTGCCCAACCTGAAAAGTCATCCCCAACTAGAGCTCTTAACCAAAAACTAACAAGAGGTATTAATAAGAAGTACGAGAATATGGCTTACTTGAGTTTCATATCCATTTGGCAATTTGGAAATGAAGTCATGAGCATTTGCTGCCTTA